AAAAATGTATTTAAAAATTAATAGTTTGTTTTTCCTTAACATTTTTTTCCTCCCAGAAAACTGAAGATTCTGAAAGATAACCACAAGTTTTACTATAAACATTCACAATAACAACTTTACACAATTCTGCCTATTCATGTCATTTATGTGCATAATTTTCTTCTCCTACTTGTTTTCAGTATAATATTTTCCTGTCATGAATGTAAGGATATATTGAAAATATCTTGAAATTGCACCTGTTATTCTCTATCTAAAGTTTTTGTCTAGGCACTTGAGACCTAAAAAGTATGTCAATAGTAAACTTACTGAACTCCCTGCAATTTTCAGAAAAACACTCACTGCCATTGAGTCAAATCTAACTCATAGTGACCCTATAGGACATAGTAGAACTGCCCCATAGATTGTCCAAAGATGTGAATGCTTATGGAAGCAGACTAGCTCATCTTCCTCCCACAGAGTGTCTGGTGGGTTCAAATTGCCGACCTTTTGGTAAAAAGATCAATGCTTTATGCACAGCACCACCAGAGCTCCTAATTTTCAGAAAGTAAACTATTTTCTTTTTATTTCTATCTTAACACCCCTGTTCTCTTTCCTGGAAAGCTTTCCTTCATCTCTGTCTTTTCTTCACCATTTGCAGAATAATGTCACCTTCTCAATGAGGTTTCAGCATGGAAGCATTTCCTAACCCTAATTTGTTGCCTTTTTTCCTGTTGTCTTTCTCCCCAGCTCTGCGGTCTTTAAGAGGAATGAGTAGCTCTTGTACACCACTAACACCCCACAGTCTAACATGTGATTGCTGTTAGGTGTTCTCAAGTCGGCTCTGACTCATAGCGACCCTAAGTACAACAGAAGGAAACATTGCCTAATCCTGTGCCATTCTCATAATCTTTGTTTGTATTTAATAAACATTTGCTGACAGAATTAATGATGGAATTATTTTCTTACTCTGAAATTTAGTTTGGTATACAGTGTAAGGAAAGGTACTTAATGTTATTTTTAATTGAAACTTATTTTCCAGATAGACAATATTTTTTAAATTTTTATGGAAAAATAAATACTCACCTCCTTTGGATTGAAGTGCTTTGTGTTTTAGATGTTGTTGTTGTTATGTGCTGTTGAGTCGGATCCGACTCACAGTGACCCCTTTTTGGGTTTCCAAGGCAGTATCACTACAGAAGTAGATTGCCCAACTTTCCTTCCGAGGAGTAGCTGGTGGGTTTGAACTGCCAGCGTTCTGGTTAAGTCAAGTGCTTTAGGCACTACGCTACCAGAGCTCCTGTTTTAGATATGAAAGGTTAAGATTTTCTTGGTTCTTGGTTTTTTCATCTACTTTATTGATTTAATTCTAGGAAGCATTGTTTTAAAAAGTATATTAGCTTTATAATGTTTTAGCATATTCAGTGTGTATAACTGACATGATAGAAGCAGATACAGTAAGATGAACCTGGAGTTATTGGTCCCTGATATTTGTTGAACTGAAGAATGCACTGGATGATGGAGAATCAAGATAACCAGGTTTGACTCTATCTACTACCCTCTCAACTTTGATCACATTCCTCCTAAACACTCCCGAGTTTCTTCTTCCCAGCTTAAGGAGTCTCTCCAGGATTTGCCTTACATGCTTTATTTTTCACTCTCTGGGTCTCAGTTAGTTTTCCCCATTTCTGGCCTACTGTCTCAATCTTGGATTCCTCTAGTGCCTGTTTGATGGAACATTCAGATAGACTGATATTTTAGCCAAGAGGCTGTAGGTCTATATTTTGCATTCAGTTCTATCCATTGGAGCATACAGAAAAGCTGTAATCCTCTCCTCCAGCCTGAACAGGTCTCTGCTTTTCTGAGAAAGATGACTGATAAAGAAGAAGGTTCTGCATTAACTACAGTGTGAATGAGTGGACACTGCTATTGATGTGGTAATAATTAGCATGTTGGGTAGGGTCAAGGTTGATATGGATCCAAATATACAAATCAACTGAAGTTTATTTCTCTCAGTGCAAGGTGGGTTTTTTCTAGAAAGTCATCTCAGGAACTTAGGCTACTGGGTCAGCTTCAGCCTGTTAAATATGTGCTTCAGTTGTTATCATTAATAGGCAGCAGAGAGAAAAGAAAGAAGGAAGAGTAAGCCAGGCAAACATCTTTAAGCAACTGAGGTGGAAGTTGCACCCTCCCCTTTGGCTCATATTTCACTGGCACAGATTTGGCCACAAAGCCATACTCAGCTGCAGCTGGAGGTAACCATGTTACCAGGAATAAAGAAAGAAAATGTGAGGAGGAAGAAATGGAATTGCCTGTAAAAAGTCAGGAAAGACAATTACAAAAGACAGTAAGAGGAAGAAAAGAGAAGGTTTTAACAGTGTCGATATGCTTTACTATAGAAAGGAAGGAATCAGTGAGCAGAAGGATTCTTGTAGGAAGAAAAAGAATAATGACAGTCATTGGAAATAGAAAACATTGAGAGAAAAATAGTTTAGACAAAGAATTGTGAATTTAAGTTTTATTAATAGAGTTTAAAGTGGCAGAAAACATCTATGTGATAACATCCTATTAGCACTGGTAACTGTACACTGGAGTATAAATCAGTAGGGTAGGTTTGGGAGTCTATAAAGAATTCATGTCAGAGTGAGTGAAAGAGAAGAGGGATAAAATACTGATGAAAAAAAACAAGCAAAGAATTGAGGGTAAAGAATAGATATTATTAAGAATTTGGATTTCTTTTTGAGGCAGAATTTTACAAAGTGAAAAGAAACTGATGTATGGTCTCATGGAAAACAGTGAAAGAAGAAATTTCTGGAATAGTGCTAGATAACATAAACAAGTTAAAAAAAAAAAGGTAAAAATTTAGTACGCACAAAGTTATCAGAGTTGGTAAGGAAGGTCTTCATGATAATTTTTAAAAAGCACCTCTAATCAAAGAGTTAGAACAAAACAAATGGGGTGTCCAAGTAACAAGCCAAGGAAATCCATCTCCATGTTTGTGCAGGGTGGTAAGAGGAGATGGTCACATGCCGGTCTTTTCAGCCACAAGCTCCGCATACTGGAGACAATGTTATTGAAAACCAAGACATGCTAACACAAAAAAACAGACCAAGTTAGTGCAGCTTATGTTTGA